TATAGTCTCTATCAATTCTCAATCGGTTTTTCAACAAGTTTGGCCAATTTCCACCAATAGATGTTTCATTTATGGGGCTTGGCTTATATTTTTTCTTTGATTCTAGGGAAGATGGTGAGCAAATTTCACTTTCCTGTATTTTTACATATTCAAAAGTGTAAAATGACAAGACAGTATATGTGGGTCTTGGACCATCGTTTGAGATATCTACAATTCTTCCTTCAAAATAAAAATTATTGCTTCTAAAGATGACAAATCGATTAACAAAATACTGCTTATGGATACTATCCATTTTTGGACAGTTTTGAAATAGAAAATAAAAATCCCAAATTACATGTGTGTTAATCCAATTAAATATGTTTGCCAGCTCTACATAGCTCAGTGGTAGAGCATCTGACTGTAGAAATAGTAGTCATCAGAGGGCCGCTGGTTCGACTCCGGCTGTGGAGATTTTATACAAGCTTTTGATGATTTTGTGGATCTCGGGACAAAAACATATTATGTATTTTTAAAAAACAAACCATCTTTGTTCATCAATATGATTAATTTTTCATCAGAATATTGCAACTACCTATCTCTCTATCTTGAAGATATATCCAGGTGTTTAACTAATTATTTACAACAATTCTGAATTTAATTACTACTGCAACATCATATTTAAAAGTTTTGAAAAAATACACTGACATTATTTTAATTATCAAAATTTTTACAACTATGTGGCCGTCGTTTCTTCGTTCTCTTATGAAAGCTAAGTATCTTTGAGTTGTCCTCTTTCGACTGTAGTTTTAAATTTTTCAGCTCTTCAGATGTAAAGTACATCTTCTGAGACGCTGATTCTTCAAATATTTTGTTGTTTCCATTCTCATCAATTTGATTTTCAACTATTCTTCCATCCAAAAATGTGTATGATTTTCCAGGTTGGAATACTATATTTTCTGCTTGAATTTCATTACCTCTAGACTCCATATCATTGCTCTCTATGTGTAACTTTCCTATTGGAAGACCAGTTAAGGGATCAAATCCAATTTTCTGATGATTTGAACATTGCTCTGTCGATTCATCCTCCTCAGAATAGGCACACTGGATTTCTAAGTCTAATGGCTCATCTGACTCTTCTTCATAGTCTTCTTCAGCAATCTGCTTTATCAGTAAATCAAAGTTGGTTAGACTTTCGCTGAATTTTTTACTCATTTTTAGGCTGAAAATTTTATTAAAAGAAATAATACAAGTAAAGGAGATATTTAATCAAGCTGATTGATTTTAAAATCCTTTTAGCATCCACTTAAAACCCAAGATATCATTCACTCTTTTAAAATATTCCATAAATGGAAAATTGTCTAAAGTAAATACATCATACCATCTAGGAAATGATTAATTTAAAAATGTTCAAATGCTCAGAGAATAATAGTCCATTTCCAATGGATTACTCGTTTGATATCATATTTAAAAAGGCTAAAAACAAATTTTTAAGTTAAACCCAATCAGTAGAGTATAATAATAGCATTGCATCCTTTAAGTTAAATATTTAATATTAGGAATGTTATACCCAGCTAAGAACTAAACATTTCTTCCATTCTTTGAGCAAGCCCAGGAACTAGTTTACTTATTTCTTTACATTGCTTTAACTCATACGAGCTTGCTTTACCCATAAATTCCTGGAAAATTGCAAGAGCGACCATTCCCTTTTCAATATCACCAAAGTCACTTTCATCAACTTCCATTTCTCGATTGAGCTGGATGATTTTTTCAGAATACAGACATTCAGTTTTGAAAAATTCTACATACAATTCATTGTTATCTGAGGTGTCTACACAGCAAATTGAAATAGCCTTAAGAAAAATGGTTCGTGCTGAATCTATATCATCGGCCTCCCACAATTTCTTACCACAAAAAATCCAAAGCTCGACATCTTTTGTATTCTTCAGGCACAGTTGAGAAAAATATTCTTTGAGATGCTCGTAGAAATGCATTTTTACACAGAATTCTGAAAATTCCATAATCAATTCTTTGTCGTTGAAGCGCAGAAGGGCTCTACAATATATTCCTAAAATATTTCTGTACAACAATTCATCCATTGGACTCTGACCACACCCCCTTTCTAAAATACGCTTTTTTCGTAGTTTCGATAGTTTTTTTTCCGACTTGATATAGTTTAAGTAATCTCTCAGATTCTTTTTTGGTCTTAGCAATTTCTTTTCGTAAGCTCTTCTCGTTTCTACGATAATGTTTATTTCCTTCCTACTAAAAACTCCCCTGTCCTTGTAATCTTCTAATTCCGGAGCCATTGACTCCAAATTGTACTGAAGTTTATCAACCATTCTGGGGTGAAAAATACAAAAACGATTTTTTTGAGAATTTTGGTTTTCCCCTAAATTACTATTTGCAAATGGAATTTACTTTGTTGTGAGCAGTTACTTGGCTTGTATTTTGTTGAAAATTTTTTCAAAAATTTTATCCCCAAATGGAAGATATTGCAGCCTACTTACTTTGTGTTGAGAACGGAAAAGAAGCAACGAAGGAGCTAATGTCAGCCATAATTGGAAGCATCAAGCCAGACTTCTCCAAGGACTCGCTGGATCTGTTCCTGACAAAGATAGAAGGAAAGACTTACGAAGAAATTATTACCGAAGGTTCTTCAAAGATGGCCAGCCAAGTGGTTTCATCGAGCTCAAATGCTGTAGAAGCAAAATCAGCAGCTGTTCCTGACCAGGTAGCTGATGAACAAAGTGAATCTGATGAAGCAGAATTTGACTTATTCTAAATAAATAATTTTACAGTCTCCGATGTTGATTTGGCCCAATCATGACATGAAGTTATGATAATTCCATGACTAAAGCTTCTATATTCATATAGAATATTTATTCAAGACAATTTCTTTTATTTGTACTGAGTTAATTAGATGAACTATCTTCATTAATCTCTATTAGGTGTATAATTGCTTTTGCATCATGATGAGTTTGATTTCGCAAAAGCTTTCCAATAGCTGATCTTAGCACATTATAGTAAATGATCATCTATTTCTAGTTTACACAAATTCATTGCTTGAGTTTGTCCAAATGTACTTTTCTAGGTTTATATATATATTTTCTTGAAAGTTAAACCAAAATATTAACGATTATATCGGATTCATTGTATAGATGCTGATACTATTAAGTAAAGATCTCTTTTATGAATATCTCACCAATTATAGATCCAAAATTTTTTTACCCATGAAAATTAGACAATGTCAGATTTGCTCATCCGAAAAGGTCGTAAATGTATCATCCAACATGGTTTATTGTGAAACCTGTGATATCTACTACTCTCTCTTGGAGGGACGTCAGATGATCTCCAACTTACCACTTGCAAACATAGAAAGCAATACTTTGGAACTCTGCAACAGATGCCAAGTCAAACTACAATCTCGTTGTAAAAAATATATTACTTGCCGAAATTTCAAAGAATATTTTGGAAAGATGAGGATTTGCCAGACTTGCAAGTCTCAAAATGTTGATTTATTCAAAAATCTATATTACAACAACTTCATTTTATATAGAACTGATATTCGAACATTTTCTAATTTATATACTTTTTTATTTCTGCTACTTCTGTTTTTTAAAATCCCTATTGTGCAGTCGCAATTAACCATTCACTTTAGATTACTGGGAGATAGACTATTGTTATATGTGTTGAAACATTTTCAAGTTGAAAATATCATCCGTTTTTCGCTGATCTTGAAAAAGAAGCAATCTGTTCTAAGACTAATCCCATCTAGGCATCTGTGTCTTGCCTATTCATTATCTAACTTCATTTGGCTTTTATACATTGGATACATCACATCAGTCTTAAATATTCCTTACATTGTAGTGATCTGTATTATGGCCAAATTGAATAATGTTTTAATAAATTTTGCAACAGGAACATTCTGCTTGTATAAGTTGATAACCTCAAGATCTCGTGCATATTGTGTTCCAGAGAATCTAAATACCGACGCTGACTTGCATAATTTCATGGGCAAATTGTCTTTAAATAGCTCCATAAAATAAATTGTATTTAAAATAGTCTTAACTAAGCCTGTTACAGTGATTAATGTTAAAAATTATTTCAATAATGACGCAGTGTCTTACTTTGAGGGATATTTTTAGCCAATAATATTCCGCTGGATATTCCTAACTTGCTTTAATCAACTACCAAAGCCATCATATATGGCCTTTTACCCCATGTTTCAGGTTTATTTGTGTTTGTTTTATAGTTATTACAAATATTCAACCGAATAAATAAACATGGTGCCTTTTCTAATTCTATACATAGCTAATTGTTTGTCCTTCCAATCAGATCCATCGGGAGATATTGGAGATCTTAATGATATCGAGGAAATTAAAGAAGCTGATGCAAGTCCGCCCGAGAAAAAGCAGAAGAAGCGTAAGGACTCCTCTAAACTGAAAAAGGCTAACCCTCCTAGTACTTCTAAATCAGCATCAGGATTATTAGATGAAGATAAGCCAGAAGAAAGTGAAGAGCCAGAAGAAAGTGAAGAGTCAGAAAGCAAGGAATACGAAGGTAGTAATGAAGAGAATGGTAATGAAAGTCCAAAACATCAACAACGACCCGTGGCAACGACGATAGTTAGAAAAATCTATAATGATAAAACTAAGCCATCTAGGAAGAAAAAACCTCAACTGTTAACACTCCAACGACAGAAACTACAACAATTAATTCATTTTCTAACTAAAGCACTTGAGAGTGCTTCAAAATTGGGCAAGTTGATTTCTTCTTCACAGTTCTCTTAAAGAGAAAGGTTGGGATAAATTAAATGGCTCTAGAATACCCAAAGAATAATTTTAATAAATGAAATTTGACTAACCCCGTCAACTAATAATTGGTAAGATATTATGCAAGCTAACTTATACCCAATACTAAAATATCAATAAGAATCTGATCTAGTTAACTATAAACTGTTTCATTAAATTGCCGAATAAGTCGGATGGAAATGATTATCATGTTAAGTTAAAACAATTTAATTAATCCAAGCAAGCCTTTTTGACACACTCTTGTGATGTGGAATCTTCAAATTTCTCACTCTCATCTTCATCACCACTCAATCCAAAGGCCTGAATAATGGGTTGTTCATGAAGAACAAACTCAATTTTGCTTTTAAGTAAAAGATGTCCTTTATATTCAAACTCATCAACATCAAACTTGATCGGGGTTTCAAGTGGAATGTTTATGATATTTTCTTTGCTAATAATATCATCTGTTAATTCTTTCTCTGCAACTTTAGGCTCTTCAGCATCGAGATCCTCCTCAACCTCTACATTGATATCTTCTCCACTGTCAACAAGATCTTCATCAGTTCCATCTTCTTTTTCCCCTTCTTCTTCCTCATCATCATCTTCCAATTCCTCATCTTCCAGAATTTCAATGGACCCTTCATCATCAGAAGTTCCCATTTCATCAGTCAAACATTCTGTTTTGATTCCTGGATATCTCACATCAACGAGATATCCAATACGCAAGAATTGCTCCCCATTGTATTTACATGAAACCAAAATTGTTGTCAATCCAAACAGGGTTGAAATAGGGATCTTAGTCAAATCAATACAATCTGTTTCCATCTCAAATAGATGCTCACCCTCTTTGAATGGACCAACCACACAACTATAGATTTCCTGATCGTAATCATTAGTTGAAGCTCCACCAAAAAAAACAATACTAATTTCCACATCCCCGACACAACTAGTTTGAAATGTTAATTGAAACTTGAATTTGTCATCATACTTATAAATCCTGCCAGTATCTGCCTCTACTTTTACAAGTTTAATTAACGACATGGGCAAAAATTGGATAAATTTTTTAGCAAAAATATTTATAAAATAATTGTTATATTTTATCCCAATGAAGAGATTGAATGGCCAAAAAGTTAGTAAAAGCTTTCTAGAACTCAAGGTAATGAATGGAGATATGGACAAGGATGATTTAAATACAATGAAAGATGCTAGTGTTCAAAACAAACAGGCATTTGCACAATTTATGAAATCGAGGTATGCTATGATTAATAAAAATAACGATTCTGCAAATAAAAGTGATGCTTTTACATTATCTGAGGAAGACATACTGCAGATGATGAAAATGAATCTAGTCTCTATAAAAAAAATACTTCGGAATTCAACACTATGCAACAACATGGTTTTCAGCTCTGGAGATGCCGATATATTCTATAGAAATTGCCTAGTTTATCAGCATGTAAACCTTATTGAGAATGAAACAAAATTGATAAATTTTTTATCTAAACAAATTCCACAATCTAGAGATGAAGAATCAAGAACAATCTTAGATAGTATCTGGATAAAAATATCGAACAGTTCCATAGAAAAGTTTATAATTAACAACTCATACGATACAAGAAAGGTTCTCATGGTTTTGAATATATTAGTTTCCAAATGTGAGCCGGAAATAATCAATATACTATTTAAGTATAATATTCTACTTGATTTGAACAGGATTTCCAATATTCATAGATTTAGTATTGATCCAAATATTGAGTATAAAACTGATTGTTTATTGCATTATTCGAAAAACAGAGCATTTGTGGAAAACTTTCTCCATGCCGATATTCTTGTAGATAGATTAGAGTTTCAACCGATTTATTGGAATCTAAACAGAGTTGATTTTAAATATTATTTAGAATCAGCTCCACATCATACCAGCTTAAGTAAATTCCCCAGGGAAAGTGTAAGCTATAACCTGGATGATACACAAAGGATGTTTTTAAATATTATTTGCAAACAGGAAAACATTGCATTTTTTAACGGGACATACGAATTTTTCACACAAAAATCTAAAGACATCTATCGGATATCAACAGAAATCAAACATTACATTGAATTATACGGAGTAAATAAGATCATTCACAAGTACTTATCATCCCATCTGGATATAGAGCTTTTAGAAAATCTAGATGAAGTAATGATCAAGAAGTTGATTGTGGAAGAGGTACAGATCGATTTACTTTATGAGTTTCTTGTCAAAAATCATAAAACTTGTCGTGCTAATAATCCCCAGTGCGATACTTTACTTAACAAATACATTTCATATTTCAATAAGACCGACTTTATTTTTAATTTGCTTACTAAAAAATATGATCTAATTGACGAAATTGATAATTATATTAACGGAGGATTTGACAAGGAATTGGTCGATTATATCCTTCAAGAACTTTCCGATGGAAATTCAAAGAATATCTGTGGTATTTTGAAGCAGTTGAATTCTTGGAATGAAAAGTTTTATATAAACGTTCTTTCGGAAGCTTCTCTTTCAGAAAAGGACAGTTTGGATATCATTGATAGTCATTTGCTAGCGTATGTAACAATAGATTGCCGAGATTCTGATTCCAAACAAATTTCCAAATCCAAACTTTTAAGGAGAATTTGTGAAAATGGATCTATAAATGTTTATAAGAGTCTATCACTCCAGTCAAAATATGAATTTTGCACTATTAATCGATGGGCTATAAACAAATTTGCTGACGAATGTAAGGTATTGGTCGAAAATACAAGTGATATTTCTTCATCAGAACAACTGAATAGTTTTCAAATTGCTATTGAGCTGATCAAACCACTTTCATACATCTTTAATTTATCGAAATTGCACAAGGAGAATAATCCCGAAATATGGACTACAAATCCAACCAGATTTATTGGAAAGTGGTTTCCTCCATTGCTTAATAATCTTGAGTGTATCGACCAGATTCTGGTATTGACGAATATTTTCAAAGAAGAAAGCCATGTTTATTTTGTAAGGGCATTTCCACAAATAATAGATTTTATTTCCAACTTCTCAGATGATTCAAAGAAAGGAATTTACATTATTGAAAATTTCCATCCAAATAGAGGAGTAAACAAAATAATCAACTTTGATCCACAAAATATCTTTAATACATCAGAAAGTCATATGTTGGAAAGAATCTCTGCCCTACTGCATTACCATTTGAACAACAAATACGTATTGTTTGTTCTAACTGGTCAAGTATTTTCTTTTTATCAATATAAGATCAACCATCTCGGAAACAATCTGTTTAAGATGATGGTGCTAAAGTTTATTTGTCCAGATAATTTTACGAAGTTCAATCGTTTAAAATATATTAATTTGGTTAAGAATGATCTGAATTCCACGAACAAATATATTATGGAATATGCTCGTAAGAATCTTAACAGATACGACTATTTATCGAACAATATAATCAACTGCTTTTTCAATGATATAGCATACAAAGAATATATTTCCATATTTTCCAACATGACATTTGAAAATGTCTTGCCATTTGATTATGTAAATATTTTTATAAATCTTCTTTTCAGTCGAAGTGAGATCAATTTATGGATTTTGAGTCGTTTATACAACATTATCAGTGACAATGACATCAAGCTAATATCGATACTGATTGTCGATCATTGCAATGAGTATATTATTAAAAACTTCTACAATACAGAAGCCATGAGTTCAGCAATATCTGTTTATTTAAACTATTACTTTGAATGCAGACTGAAGGATGGAGATATTGTGGATGAGAAAGATATGACTTTAGAAAAGCTTCATAAATTCGTGGATATCAAAAATACATCAAATATATTCAAGCATCTCAAACATTTCAGAATTAGCAAATATCTTATAAACTGTTTAAAGCATAAGAACAATAGTTACGTTAACCATACGGTTATAAAAGAGATAGTTAAGTATTATGATGCAATCGATAAAGTTCCTATAGAGTTTATTGCGTGTGCTTGTGAATTGAAGGAGTTTGATCAATATTTGGAAAGCTTTATTCCTATTTTGAAAGGTATGTTTTTGGATGAATCATCGAATCAAATTTCTTCTGATGCTTTGGCTATCATTTATTCCAGAAACCAAATAAAATATAACTCAGAAATTGATCAGTTTTTGATCAATGCTATATTTAAGTCAGAAAGTTCTATCAGAATGTCTGTTGTAGATATTACAACCAACCCATTGGTATTATTCCTTCTACGCTTTGACTATCATTCGGTTTTAAAAAAGAAGGCACAAGATAAATTTAAAAGTATAGTTTCAAATCCCAACAAGGCACTTAAAGAGTTTTATGTGCAGATATTGGATTTGTATGATGATGGATTTATGATGAAAACTTGCTTACACGAGATGGTCTTAAAATACTCCCATTATGTTAGGGATTACTGTGAGAATGGTGGGAAGATGACAATTGACATTTTAGTTGATTCTTTGCCACAAGCATCAAAACTTGATGAGATTGCAAAATCAGTTTGTATAAAACATCAGAGTTTTATATTATTAAAGTTACTTTATTCCAAAGGCATCAGTTTGATTGATAAGTTTGAGAATAACTTTTTAGTTGAAGCTATTGCAACTTACTCTATAATTGAGTATGATACTGAGGAGGCTAAATCAAAAAATAGGAAGATACTTTCAGATATGGCATATGATGTTTATTTGAGTTGCAAGGATTCAAGGCTGTTGAATTTTATCGATGAAAAGAATTTGATGAAAATTTTAGAATCTGATTTTGAGGTTGTAGCTTTTGTAGATTCGAATAAAGAAATTGAGGCAATGCTTTTGAAAATGAATCCCAATCAAACTTTAAATTATTTGAGAACTCCAAGAATAGATTGTGGAAACTTACAGAAGGTAATTAATCGTCTTGTTCTTAATATTGCAGATTCCGATACCCACAAGTTGAATGAAATATTGAATGATCATTATATCAACTATATTAAATATTCACAGATCTTAGACAAATCGGGTATTGATTTCAATCAACTGATTAGCCTATTAATAGATGTCGATGATAAGAGATCCTTTGAATTGATTAAGGCTATAATAGACATCAAATCAAATTATAGAGCAAACTCTACCCCAACCAAATCTTCTGGATTAGAAAACATTTCCATCTCAAGCAGATGTATTGGATATATATTAAGACATTTCCTTAATGATTCTAGGCGAGATGCTTGCTATACCTTGCTCAGAAAAGTTAATTCTTATGCTGAAGGATATTTCACCATTATTATTGACAATATATTAAAAAGTTGATGGCTGATTTTATGCTTTGATTATTTTAAATTGAAATTAGAAGCTACTCCTTGAAACAAGAACTATGTATAATTAAACACTTTCCTTGTTAATACTATTGTTGTTCGAAGGTTTATTCATAATGTAGCCTCATATTATACAATTTTAATTAGAAGCTCTCTTTACTCTTAAACCGTTTTATAAACACGTTTATTAATTGTTATTAGAATGTTTGATGAGATTGATAAAAATCTATAACTCAGTTAAGACAATGACAGATATGTTTGCTGACGAATTGTCTCAATCACATATTCTACTATTAAAGAATTGTCCTTTCATTAATACATAGCCTCACCCTGTTTTCGTAAATTAAAATTCACAAACCAAAATCTTCAGCAATATCCACCAATCTGATTTCATTCATTGAGTTTAATTCTTGTATTTTCAATTACCCACTTATAATTTATACAACTAATCGATTTGCTTTAGTTAAAAAGTTACTTTTTGATACATGCTATGCACTAAATCAATAACCTCACAACTAACAGTCTGAGCACCAGCAAATATGTTAAATACACTATAGTCCGATCCAAATAAAGTCCAAATTATAAACCTAATCGATTGATTTATAAAGCCACTATCCAAGGCAAGATTGATGATTGGCTCGATTATCCTCTTAAATAGATCCTCTACTACTGGTGACTGTTCTTTACAAGTGTCCCTAAACTCACAATTTGGATTGTCGGAATCGATTCGATCAAATTCTACTAAGAATTCTTTTTTAAACGACTTAATAGTCGGCTCTAATTTCTGCCATATTTGGTCTATGTTAGATGAAAGATTATTAGTTTGACAGTTTAACACAGTAGAAAGATATTCTGCCCCATCCATCATATCTTTATCAAAACTGCTGCTATCAAAGCATGCACTAACTGTGTTTTCAACAGCAATTAAATT